CACACACACACACACACACACACACACACAAACACACCAGTGTATCTCTAGCAATTGCTCTGCTGGTGGACACCGCTGTGACAGTGGGCTGCCCTCGGAGGTCTCTGGATATCCAGTGTAAATCCAGCCCAGTGGAGCTGTGAAAAAAGCTAATAATATGTTATTGCAGTCTAGGTCCCCCTGTCGCCTCTCCATCAGAGCACCACTGTCACCTTACACATGGACCACGGTGTGATAATGGACAATAATGCGGAGTAGCTGAGAGTGAGAAGTCCAATCTGCCTCCTGAGTGGTAAAAGGGTTGGAGGAAAGCACACCCCGTATGCTGTGTGAGAGCTCCTGACTCCGAGGCCGTGTGTCATCCTATCATGAACCTCAGGGCATCCCTTCCAATAGGTAAGGAAAACTTGTGATTATTATCTTATTTCATAAATCGTTAAGGTTCATTCTTGAAAAGAGAGGGCCTGTGTGGGTTTATCCCAGTGCAAAACTCACTGATTGCATTCTTTTCCACTGAGAAGTGGGGCTAATTTGTGAATACTACTCTACAGCTTTGTTTTGTTACCACGTTTTTTTTTAAGGCGTGCAAATACTTAAATCAGCTACACAGAAGACCATTGCCTAATTGTTTCATCATGATGTGTTTATTCATATTTAATGTAGAAGCATTTTCTCCTGCAAAAACACAGTCATTAGTGGGAACTTCAGAAAGAAATAAATACGCTGATTTGTTGTGAGAGTGTTTAAATCTCTCAAAGAGAATCTAAAATCGTGTTATCAGTAGTGACTTCGGGCATGTTTGCGCTTAGCGAAGTGCTACAGCACATGAGCTATTGTTGTGCTTTCTTTGTTTTGGACAAAGTTTTATAAAATAACTTTCAGAGCATAAGTAACAACTCCGTTTTCAAACCTAAACATATTAAATATGCTTCCTTTGATCAACAAAATGTTTCTGGTTTAGCTTGCAGTGAAATTTTTCCCTGTAGAAAAATGTTAAAACACAACAAAACACAAGCAGCAGCAGAACAGCACATACAAAAACAAGTGGTACAACTTTCAGCCAGACTGAGGCCTCTAGTGGCAGCTGAAGGCAGCATCATCCCCACTGAAAGTTACCAGGGAAGACTACAACATGGTGTGACAGGTTTAAGGATGATTCCTGAATTTGATGATCAAATTTAAAATCTGATATACACTGTACATACAGTATATGTGGGAATAGCATCTCGCAAAATAACGTTTAATGTACAATCATATAGCTGTATGTACATATCATTTCAATTCTCTGCAGGCTTCGGGATTCAACTAACAGACCAGTTTCCAGCTGTCACACAAGCATCATTCTTCAGGTTAGAGTAAATATAAGGCTGTAAACTGCATAGAAAGTCTTCTATTTGTAATTATTGTGAAGTTGAGAGGGCACGGGGGCATTTTTTTTTTCTGTCTGATGATTGAATTCCTACCTCTCCCCTGTGCTGAGTTGTATTTTGGTGCATGACCACTGGCTTTGTGGTTTTCCAAGCCTCATGGGACCAATTCCCATTATTTACTTGACTGTGACCCCGTATCATGACCCCTCAAGTCTCTCATTCTCCAGAAGCCTACTTTTAAATTGCCCGTCTAATGGCAACCTGCATTTTTACTGAACTGTAATGAATGCTCCAATTACGCTGAAGGTGATGGAGGCGATTTTCCTATGATAGAGGAGGTGATTGGATCTCCCACACTCCATTTCACTATCTCTCTGCTCTTCAGGCATTCCCACAGACCTGTGGTCAGCACTAGCTGTTGGGAGGAAACTAAAGCCTCCACTCGTGGTAATGCACCCTCTCAGTGCACTGCCAAGCCGTGCACCAATGAGGTGACTACAAAATTAAGTGCTTGAAATAAATGAATTCATTCTGGCAGAAATGTGTCAAATGACCTTTCCGCTGCTCATTACACATGGTGCACATTACACCAGAGAAATGCTCCTGTTGTCAGGGCTCCTTTGTCGTCGTCCCCCCCCCCCCCCCCCCNNTTGTCAAAGGGGAATGGTAATTAATTGAAATCATTTCCATGTGTAAGGTTGTGTAGATCCCTCCTCAAGGTGTGTCAATGGGTCGATAGATATTTGGAGTGTATAGTGGAGTCAGGTGATAAGAACTCTAGTCATACCGTGCTAAATGACTGCCAAAGCTCCATAAAAGCAATTCAAGGGCAGAAGAGTTTGAGGGCAGGAAGTAAAAAGAGAGAAGGAGGGTGGGAGGTATTGTTCCCAGTGGACGATATTCTGACAGCAGTGACGGTGGTCACTATCCACAGAAATTGAAATGTTTTGGATCACTCAAGGCTGGGCACATTTTTCATTTTCCACCTTTTTTTTCTCCCTCTGATTAAAAGGTTGTTTGTGAGGACTGAACAGACTCCTTCGAGGTGGTATCCTCCTGCTTGACTGAATGCGGGGCATTTCACCCAGCTCTGTGCACAAGAGAGGAGAGCTTATCCAAATGCAGCGGCTGCCTGTCTGCCTGCCAAGGAGAGATGTGGCTTTAAGAGGCCCATACATGGTGTTGATTAGTTTTACTGAGCGGGTATGCAGAGACCAATAAATTAAATATGAATAAATTAAAAATGTACTCTAGCAGAAAATTGCTTGGAAAACAACCACCTCCCCATTAAAATATGTATAGTAATGCCTTTTATGTGAAGTAACTTGGGATTAGATATCACTGTAAATTAACACGCCATCCAACCGTAGTCAAGAACTTTTCACTTTCAACAAGGAGTTATAAAAGAGGTATTTACTCCAGTGTGTTCAGTAATTAATTTGATATTCAAATGAGCTTACAGTATGCATTATAATTGCAAATGTCCCAAATAAGAGTAGTTTTAAAAAAAGGGCTGGTGTCAACAAAGATTGATGAGGCTTGCTTTGAAATTGCCATCTGTTTCAAATGTTCACTTGAGGTGGGGTTTTCCCCCCTCTCTTCTTCTGTGGAAAATAGAGGCATCATGGTTTCCTCCTGCCACTTGGCCATATGTATCTGTTATTTTTGGGTGGGGGTGGCACCGTGGTGCAGCAGCATACATGAACACACGCACACGCACCCACACGCATGTACGCACACAACGCAAACATTGAAGGGGATCAGGAACATCAGCATGTGTGATGAGCTCCCACAGATAACGTCTCCGCAACATTTCCATGACATTGTAGCTGTGTTACCTCATTACCACAATGTCACAGCAGCAGTGTGAGGATGTTGTGTTTGGGGTGAGGGTGGAGGGGGGTGGGTTCAGCTGCAGGTATCGGGCCTCTGCAGATGAGCTGATTAATTAAAGGGAGCTCTATTAAGGTTATTGCGATCCCTATTACCAGCAGCCCCCTCCATGCTCCTCAGTGGATAAAGGTGCATGGAGCAGAGGGGGGGCCGAGGGAGGGGGAGCATCCTTGCCACTTTTGACATTAGCCTGCGTACACCCACTTCACACGCCCCGCGACTCTCGCCACAAGTGCCTCTCTGCACCCCACCTTTGCAGGAGTGACACTCTCTTCAGGCTCCAAAATGGGGCTGCAGAGTTTTAATCCCTCCAGCCCGTCAACCCACCCACCCTTACTTCCATCTGTCAGGAGCACTGCTGGAGGAAAAGGGGGGAGGGTTTGTGGGGGGCAGGGGGCGCATCCCTTGTTCCATCCCGACGAATTTTCTAATTTCCTTTGCCTCCATGCTTTGTCCCAAATTCACGCCCCTAACCTATCCACCATACAGCCTCTCTCGTTCTGTCCCCCCCTCCCCTCCCACCTCTTTTCTCTGTTGTTTTGGCCAAAAGGAGTAAAAGTAAAACTGGAGGCTCCTGCTGGCTTGCAGCAATACAAGCTGACAGTGTTTTAACAGCATCTGAACCTACTGTCGTCATACATGAAGTCACTGATTCTTCCACATTTTTCTTGATGTGTTTCAGTTTTGTTAAATTTGTTCCACCCTGAGGCATGTACACACATTCCTATAATTTGCTGTATCAATCAATTAATCAATTTAGAGATTTTTTTTTGTCTCGATATAATTAATCAAGACAATGAGGACCATATGCTGAAATCCCTTCTCCTCTTCTGACAAAAATTAGCCATACGAGAGGTTGTCTAAACAGCCTTCCAGCGTCACATTCTAAATGGAAAAGAGGTGTAACTAACTACACAAATCATTGCTGTGGTTTTGTTTTTTATTTCTTAAATTATCTACCACCAAATCACATTTTGTGAAAGAGACAGCACCCAAAAAAAAGCATGTCTTTGTTTGAAAGGACCATCGAAACATAACCATACAACATATTAATTAGTGACATGTTACATGGACATCACAGTTTTAATGGGCAGTGACTCAAGCAATCAATTCTAATTACACATCTTCATGCACAAAACTAGGTGGTAAGCTTTAGGGATAGCACTCTCCTGTCAGATTAACTCCAGGAAATGAATTCAGCAACTTACTACAGCTCCATCTGCTGTTTATACCAGTCTTAGTAAACCAAAGGCATACGGTATGTCAATAATGTTGCAGTCTTTTTGGCAAGCAGCTTGAATCAAAGATAATTCACGTGCCATTTGTTCATTCTCGTAAACTCTGTTGAATTACAAATAACTCCAACACAAGACAGTGTTGTGCACATCTACTCACTAAGTTAAAAAAAATAATAATCACCCGAGATCAATATGTCTGCCTGGACAGAATTTGATAAAGGTTAACATACTCTGTGCACACTTTTAATACAATTAGCTCTTCCCTGAAATGTAGAAATACCTTAGACAAATGCACACTACATTTACACATGCACACTAAAACACAGAGCTTGTGCATGAACACGGAGCCCCATTGTTGGCACTCATTCACTTCAAGATGCAAATGGGTGGATTTGAAATTCAGCCTCTGTGTGTTATGCTTGGCTACTTTAATGTTGTATCTATGCTGGGGATTATTCTCTCTACAGCGGAAAAACCTGTGCTTGAATGGCAGTGCCCTCAAAGTAGCTCCTACTGCTTTCAATGGCCTCCAAACGAGATTAGACCCGTGGCTGCCCTCAGTCCCAATCCTCTGCATTCAGATGGAGCGTAACCAGCCTGTGTGACAGTCTTTCTGTTTTGACACTGAGTGGGTGCAGTCACTGCATATAGGGCGTTTTGGAATTAAGAGGTCAGAACAGAAAAAAGAAAATCCCTAATGCTAACTTTGGTGTTGTGAAATGAGATCCAGTAAAGTCTCCCGTTCTTTATATGAGTATTCTCGGCTATTTAGCATGGAATTACAAAACAATAAAACTATTTTGTAATTTTATTGAAAATAAACTATACAAAATTGTTGTGCAACAGTTATGTTTTATGATATTTGGCACATTTTAAGTATTAAAAATATATACACACTACTAGTATCACTGATTTAAAGAGCTTCAAGACGTAATCACACATTCCTGTCAAATTCCACTTTCTACTTTTGTGGGAATCAATTTTTTTTTTACAAATATGTATTTTTTCTCTGGCCTGATTATTACATCCCTGTTCACCTCTAGCAAATAATTACTTTCTCCAAAAGTATTAAATTAACATTCGCTTTCTACATAATAGATTTGATTATTTTCAAGTGAATATTACTTTCTGTATGGAAAAGGCATACATTCACAGTGTGCAGTATATAAATATAGAGATGACCTTAAAGATGACAGGAGATGCAGCTAGGTAGTAAGTAAATTACTTATTAACAGTTTCATTAAGGGATGAGCTGTGCTCAAATCTCCTGCGAATCTCTCTTTTCTCAACTAAACTCTAGGTCGCTGCTTTATAAGGAAAACCCTTGAATCAGATGCCACCTCTAATATCTGACAAACAAATTCAATCTCCGTTTGCTGGCCACTATAAAAAAAAGGTCTGTATTTGGGCTGCTGGACGTTCTCAGTTGGCTGTGTAACAGTATGTATTTGACGAGCAGGTTTGCCCCATCCGGGGAACCCCTCAGACCGGGGGCTTTTTCCTTTGGCATGAGGCACTGCTGAGGCTAGACCCTCAGCTGCAGGGTTCTTAGACTTCATGTATTTTCACACCTGCATATGAGGCCCATTCATGTGATACTGCTGTTACTACTAAGTCTCACCATTCACAGTAGTTTCATTCACATCAATGCTAAATAACAGAATTATATCAAATAAAGTCCACCTCTAGTTTTTCTCTCTTTTTACTGTCTTTTGTTCACCGACTTGTGTGTTATCGCTCACTCTTTCTCAAGTGATATGGCTCGTTTTTTTGTTTTATTCTGAAGGGGCATTGGTCTTAGAGCTGGCTGGTGGTTTGCGGGGGCCAGTCCTACTTTTACTGGAGGTAGATGGTCTCTGGTCGACTGCCTTACTGATGTCAGAGGCTGGTTTCTGTCCTGTACCGACGTCTTTCTTGTCCCGAGGCCTACGCTGCTTTGCACTTGGCTGTGTACAGGGTTTCACACTGGCATGAGACTGCAGGAGTAAGATTCATATTCATCTTACATAACAGAATTAACTATCACATTCATTTAAAAACAGCTGCATGGCTACACCTTTATTACCATCTTCTGTAATAGGTAAATCTGGCACCATCTAGTGGTGATTGAATATGAAGGAAGTATGCCAACCTAAAGGGCTAGGGTTAGGTTTTGTTTAAAATCCAAAATGTACAGCAGTAGATATTTGTAGTTTGAAAATTTAGATCAAAAACTGTCAAATCAAAACCAAATTAAAACCATGAATCAAGTAATTAATTAAAGTTAAACTGAAAAGGCCAAGTTGTAGGAGGTTCAACATACCTGTGTGGTGGTGGGTTGAGGCGGCCCTAGAGTTTCAGAGCTGCTTTTGCGCTTGTCCTGCAGGAGGGTGCCACCACTCTCCTTATGGTGGGTCTTTATTCCAAGATACAAGGATAACGCAAAAGGAAAGATAAGAGTTATAAAACTTAAGATAAAACTTAACTGAACTATAGAGTCGTACTGTACTTTAAAGTAAAATTCTGTTTTGTTTTGTTTTTAACCATGAGATTAACAATCTTATTATCACTTGAATATTGACATGAATTTTTATTTTAATCTAATGAGATGTAGATGATAGTTATGGCTTATTCAGAACCACTTGTATTGCTTACCCACGAGAGCTCTGTAAGTTGGTGATGAATTTGACAACTCTGATGTGTAAGCAGATGTAATAGCATTTAAACAGATAAACAGAGGCTTGACATATTTTAAATTATTTGGGAGCCATATAGAGACATAATACGAAAACGGTGAGGTCAGCTTGTTGTAGAGCTGTGGTGCAACAGACATACAGTACCCGTTTGGTCGATGTGGCCGGTGTGCAAAAGCTGCTGTCTCTCTCGTGGCTGAGCTTAGCATGGATCCTGCAGTTGCTGTCTGTTTCTGTTGAAGCTGCCCCAGGGACCAGGGATGGGTCCAGTGTGTCATCAGAAGAGGTGAGGGACACGTCCTCCAGAGTCTTTGTTCCTATTGTGGGTGATTTAAAATAACATCAACATCGACTAACCTCATGTGGCTTTGGTCCATCTCTTTCTCTCCCACCATCCCTCCTCCGTCCTCATATATTATCGCCTACACAGTCTAATTTATTCAAATGATCAAATCATGACCTGCATTAAGTTATGTCAATTAAGTTAAATCTTCAGCCTCTTACTCTCTTCCTGCTCGTGGTGGTTATGCATCATCTCCAGCACATTGGACGGTACAGACACAGTATTGTCACCCTGTTGGACAAAGCACCCCCATAAGAACTCCTTATGTGACTCATTTGGTAAAGTTTATGAACGCAGCTGGAACAATCAGTGCCTTACTTTGATCCATGGGTTTTCTAATAGTTGATTAGCAGACATGCGGTAGGCAGGGTCCACCTTCAGAAGGCAAGTCAATACAATTTTTGCTGTTGAGACAGACTCGAGCCAATCGGTGAGTTTGTTAGTACCAATCTAAACAGTAAAACTGCATCTGTGCAAAATCCTGTACCGACTGTCAATGAAAAAATATATTCCTTCACTCCATATCACAAACAATTCCTCATTTTTTGCAGGAATTACATTTATTATTTATTTAGTGTCACCTGCATCACTGACTGTGGCCCAGGTGGATTGTGTAAATGTGACTCCATTGTTCATAATCTCCTCAAGCAGGTTTGTCCTTGTTGTAGACACAAACGGAGGCTCCCCACACAGCCTACAGGGACACACAACTCTGACACATGTATTCCCAGTATCATATGCATGTATATGTAATACTTTGTGTGTGTGTGTGTGTACTTACAACATATACATAACGACTCCTATGCTCCACACATCACACCACTGGCTGTAACCACGACCGCTCATCATTTCAGGTGCTGAAATTCACACACATAAGGGGTTATGACTGAGGTATGGAAATGAACTACTAGTTAAAACTGGGTTTTGACCACTGGTGGTGCTACTGCGCAATGTTTCAATAAGTGAATCCCATATATCAGCACATTCACGAGGAGATACCACGAGCACAGGAGCCATGTGATACACAGGCCAGTAATGCATATTCACAGCTGGTGGCAGTAATGAGGCGTAAAAGGCGACAATGATCCAATAAAAGTGGAGGAGGAGAAGAGGAGGACTTCTAGCAGGAACAATGCAGGTCTCACAAAATAAAATAAAAAAGATGTTTTGTGCATCTGTTATGTTGTGCAACAATTTGGATGCAATACCTAAAATAAAAAAGTTTAGATTCCCTGCTTCTCTCGAACATGTTGAGTGTATCCTTGAAGCCTAAATGTGTTTAATGCATTTCTGTTCTTATAAAACATTCACAAAGCCAATTGTTTAAATACCTTTAAACGTTTGCATTGTTTATATCCATGTTAACACTGGCTAGCAGTCTTCTTGGTCCCTGCCTTTTCCTTTACTTCACATTTGTATGACCGCACTCATAAAAACATGGCTCCATAGCACCACTATTGGTCAAAAAACACCACAGGGCACGTTTACATAACAAGTATAGATATAAAATATACCTGATACACACCAACATGCAAAAATAAAATTACAAACTGAAAACCACTATGTGTAGAATTTAAAAATGTCCAACTTTAGCAACCCACAAAAAGATACTGATGACTGATGGCAAGACATGCTGCTACAACACTCATCCAAACTTGTGTGGTCATCACATCACCCTGTGGTCATCTGTAGTAGCATGCTGTAGGAGATACAGGTGTCTTACCCATATAGGTAAGGGTCCCACAGGCCTCCGTCATTATGTTCTCAATCCCTACACCACCTGTCTGCACTGATAATCCAAAGTCTGTCACCTATGTAGAGAATAAGATAGGAAAAAGGTGATACAAATGAACGTGATTTAGATAATAGAACCCATATTAAATGATTTGTTGGAAAACTAAGCTAGAGCGCGAGTACAAACAATGATCCTTGATGACTTACATGAATAGCAACATAGCTGTTAAGGCTGGCACATAGTTGCAAAGGGGTGTCACACTATTAAAATGATGTCGTGGCACGACAACACTTTCTTAAAGCGAGTACAGTATGTGGGTGTTAGACAGGCAGAAAAACAGAGAGACAAGGACATTTATGCTGTGGTCTAGACTTGTTTTGGCTCGCACACCAGGTATCTGCTTTGGCTGGCTGGTTGTCAATGCACGCAACATACTGTGCTCAGCTGGTAATTTCTTTAAAGATACAGTCTCTTTGTAAAGGTGTACTATAAAGGAAAACCAGAGGGAGGCGGTCATAATGAGGTAGTATTTAAAGCCTTTACTAAATATAGAGGAGATAGTGGGCGAGGAAAAAGTGCTCATCAGAGGCTTGCACTCAGTCCGACAGAGAATGGATAAGAAGCAGTGATGGAAGGTTTTACAGTTTGTTTCACCATCTTACCTTGATATTAATCCTGCCATTATCATCCTCCTCGAGAGAATTTTTCAGAAGAATGTTCTCAAGTTTCAAGTCTCTGTGCACTATGTCTGTAAGATGTGAGGAGGAAAACTTTTACACAGACATAATGGTTTGACTACAGTTTTAACGTGGATGAATGTGACATTTACCTTTACCCTATTCACTGTTGCGATCAGTCACCATATCAATCTTTTTGTAATGACAATGGATCAAATGGGTGAAAAGGAGGATGCTCATGTTGATGAAACCACTGAGAAATATTTCACTGCTGGCTTTACAGTTTTGATTCACTCGCACACATAATACTGATTATACTGTTGCTATGTCTCTGATTTGCTCAATTAAAAGCTTTTCATAGGTAAATCAACAATCACAACCATAATGACAACAAACTGGTTGTCTGTCTGTTCTCCTTGTGTTAGCTCAGCTTCTCTCCCACCCCAAAGAGAAGCATGTTAATGTAGCCAGTGGTTCCACCATGGCACCCTGGGGTCAAAGCAATTATATTTGATTTTATTCTTTGTTTATTTTAAGTTAAAGATTTCTCTTTAAATCTGCCGATAAATATTTGGATGGGTGCCACGGCCTAAAAACAGTTGGGAGCTATTGCTGTAAGTAATACTTATTGCCCTTGAGTAAGGCACTAGCCTCATAACGAGTTGGTTTTCAGGCGCTGCACTGTGGCTGCCCACCGCTCATAAATAGTTAGATCAGTAAAGCAGAGGACAAATGTCCCCACAGGGATTAATAAAGACTAACCTAACTAAACTGCGTCATGGAATTGGCCGGTGGAACATGGCCATGTTTGACACAAAAAATACCAAAACCTACTGAAAATAAAGGTGTTTTTTTTGTCTTTAACATATTTCGGTCTTAAATAAATATGACAATAACTGGAGTTGGGAATACTGAAGAGAAATGAATAAAGTCTGTGATCAAAAGTTAAGTGCAACATGATTTGCTAATGTCAGTCACCGGAATAAACTGTGTTTTGTACACACTAACAGAGTGATCTGTTTACCTCGCTTGCAGTAGGCCAGGCTGAAGGGCCTCGTTAACAAAACTTGGTGGAGTGAGAGAAGGCAGGAGGAAAAATACAACTGCCCTGGGCTGTCCTTTTCACTGCACTGTTTGAAGCAACCAATTATAAAATGCAACAGTGTTGATGGTGTGTGAAAGGTAAGTTAGACCAACTGGTGTGCACAAAACAAACACTTGAAAATGTTCTTTGTTTCCTTCATCAATTTAAGATTTAAGATACTTTTTCCTGTTTTTTTTAACTGCTTGCTGAACTCTCAATTTGATATTCATACTTCATCATGTAATCATTATACATACTGTAAATAACAACATACCCATTTTAAAAAACACTGTTTAGTTTTGTCTTTCTTTTGTTTATTTAATAAAATATAGACAAGAGTCACAATTACCAAATATAACATAATTTTTGTGCATTACGTTTCAGTAATCATCCCTCTGTTAACTAACGGATAAATTATGCTATTTAATAAAACAACTGGATCTGCTGTTTAATAATTACATGTACATGAATCATTTTTCCTTACTATGTTGTTACTAGCGTGTTAAAGCTCAAAGCACAGCTGAGCCTAAGAAAAGCAGCTGAGGCTGACAAAAGACAACAAAAATTTAGTAAAATGAGAAAACCCAAACAAATTTAAGACGAGGGACTTTCACAAGTGGTCATTTGACAAAAACGGTTCTGGCTACCTCATTAGCATCATTGGTCTCTATGGAGGTGAGGGAAACCGGCACAGAGGGACTTTCCATGTGAAAGCACACCTATTAATCAGTATTGCTCTCCAGCTTGTTGTAAATTAGTCATTAGCCACATGTAATGACGCCTCATTGCCAGGCAATGTCCTGAATTACCTCTAACCACAGATTTCACCATTAAAAGAGGAAACAACATTTCCAAATAAAACACACAGATTTAATTAAAATGATTACTATGTTTTTTTATTCCTGGAAGTTGTTTAATATCGCTCTTTTATCAAAATGAGCCACGCGTTTATATTGACTGTAAACCGTAACGGCAAAAAAACTCTCACATCATTGTAAGTAACATAATTTGAGTATAATAATGGCACTATGGCACTATTACATTATAACTTAACTAAAGCACGCTTTATTCAAAACACAGTCTGAACCGGCCCAAGTCCTAATTCCACCTTCATTTAAATATGAAATATCCTAAACTGGGAATGAGAAGATATATGATATTGTGTATTGCGATAAAAATACACTCAGATAAGTATATCTTGTTGAATTTGAATTGTTGAGATAAAAATAAAACAAACATGAATGTGACTTGAAAAAGCTGTCTAGCTTGCTAACGTACAGTCCTACTTTGATTTCCTGATTTATTTTTGAATTGCAATAAAGGCAGCACAGTTCATTGTATCCCCACACACACAAACAAGTTAAATGTGTGCTGTCCTGTCTGTAATGCAATACAAATATGTGTTTCTTAACAAAATGAACGGTAAAGTTATTCCAGTATGTTTTTGTGTCATTTTAAGATTTTGAAGGACATTATGACGATTATTAATATCGTGAATTGCAATTATTTTGGTCCGTACAATTGTGTTTCATATCGTCCCATGCCTGCCCTGGACTAAAACATAACCCTATACTACTTGCTCCACACTAGAGTGTAATTAGAGTAAGAATATGAGGTAACTCAGTGATTTCAGGGTGTCATGAACACACCACATGTACACATCGACATCCCTTCAGCAAGGTGAGAACTCTGATCGCTGGAGGTCATCAATAACTAGATTTCCAGCTAATGTTAAGATGGGTTTGAATATTATCAAAATGTCAATCTGCAGAATGACGTTACCCCTTTTGTGAAGGTAGACAACGGCGTCAGCTAAGCTATAGATGATATGCCTCGTCTCGTCCTCTGTAAAGAACTTTTTCCGCTGCAGCAGCTGCTTCAGTTCACCTCCGACGCACAGCTCAGTAACCAAATAAATCATCTAGAAACAAGCAGAGAAAGTCAGTCAGTCTGTGCTCATCAGTAATATTTATGCAGAAGACACACAGTAAGGAGATTACACGTAACCCACTCTCTTAAATGGGCTTACGTAGAGTCTGTTACTGAAAGGACAGCAATGCTCACCTTAGCCGTCTCGTAGACTTCGTGGAGATGTATTATGTGAGCATGATTCACTTGTTTGAGAATGTTTATTTCGTGCCCCAGCATCTTTACTTTCGAACTGCCTGCCTGAAGTGACAGAAAGTCAAATCACAGCTGATGGGAGTTTCAGCGTGGTTATGGCCATTTGCTTCTCTCCAAGCATAAAACTCTCTTATTAGTGCAACACATTTAAAAACAGCCTTCCCAGAGGGATGCTGAATGCACTCACCACTGGTCTGCAAACCTCCTTAATAGCCCATTTTGTCTGTGTCTCAATGTGGGTGGCTTCATAAACAACTCCAAAGCTACCTTGACCCAATTTTCTTCCAAATTTATATATTTCCTACGGGGATAAGAAAGAAAAAATTAAAACACTCGCAATCTACACCTGCTCACTGTCAGTCAGAGACAGCAGAGAATTTCCCTTGAGCTTGTGTTTAAGACTTTAGGATCATTTCACTGTTGTGGATTACAAAAACCTTACGTCTTAGCTCAAGACCTGAATCCTGAAGCACATCCTAATTTCAAGCTCTCTGAAAAAACGGAACATTTTCGGGTCTCTGGAGGTGCAGAATATAGTATTTCTAATCAAGTTACAAATGATTAAGTTGCTGCTGCAGTTCGTTCAATCTCAGGTCTAATTAACTTGATCATTATCTGTGTGCATGCAAGGCTGAGCACTGGCTGCTTCGGATTTGGCAAAGGGAGCAGTCAAATTCCCCACTGAAGGGGGGCTATACAGCAGCAAAGTGAAGTTTGATCCTCGTTTGGTGAGGATAAAATGTACTATAGAGGTCACCAGTGAGTATGTGTGACTTCTTCAGCACAACACAGGACTGTAGTGAACTCCTGTGTGGAAGCTCTCCGTACCCTGAGGTCAGCGTCACTCTGCAGGCGCGTTAAAGGCACATTCCTCCCCAGTGTGTGCCTGCCGGTCCACGGGGACACCATGTTCATGCCTTAGCCACAAACATCTCCTTGTGTCATCTAGAGGTGGAAAAAGAGGGCGGTCATTATCTCGAGTCACGAGGCTGTCGGTGACAAAAAGAAGTTCTTGGTTGACAAATAATAACTGCTTATTATTAATAATTAGTTTGTTGTTTTAAAGGACCAGCGTGTAGGATTCAGTGGCATCTAGCAGTGAAGCTGCAGATTGTAACCATTTGAATAAAACATGTAGGAGAAACTATGGTGGCTGCAAAACTCGACAATGTTTGGTTTGTCCATTCTGGGCTACTGTAGAAACACGGCGGTTCAACACAGCAGCCTCTGTGTAAGAGGACCGACTCCTTCTGGAGATAAAAACTGCTCAATATGAGGTAACACAAATCTGATTGTACAGTAATGAAAACATAGCTATGAATATTATATTCAGTTTCTGATAGATCCTCCTGAATGTTACACACAAATCTGCAGTCATAACTAATTGTTTCACCAGTAACTGAGAGATTACATTTTTCCAAAAGCATTCAATAAATCAACAGTACTGTTTCCAATTTATCAATATTTCACAAGATTATATTACCCACTACTACACAAAACAAAAATATTCTCCCATACAAGCAATCGTCACTGCTGGTTGTAAAAAAGCCTTTAAGGAATTAACCACACACTTTTAATTGAAGCTTAATTTACTCGTAGTGAAATTATTATTTGTATCTTAACACACTTTAAGTATAGTAGAAGTCTATACTTTAATAAGCAGTGTACAGAATTACTGAATCTCTTCTCCTCTTTTATCACTGGTTTATGACCAAACGGCCATCTCTCTCTGAGTCTATATTAACTTTAAGCACAATTTACCCAGCTTGAAAAACAGTCTCTAAAGCCAAATTAAATGTAAAGCAGTTATCAAGCGATGACTGGGAGCAATGAAGTGGATCCACCACATGCACAGCAATTAATTATTAACAAGGAAGCGGTGTCTTTAACCTCTTCACTCTGGCGCATTATTTTAGCCCTGACAGGGCTCTCATAACAGGCCTGTCTCTCCCATTATCTCCCGTCTATTTCCCAATCAAAACGATTCTGACAGCCTCTGGAAATCCCAATCATCTCAATCACAGCTCATTTGTGGAAGACAGAGGGAGGTGATGTGATGAGTGTATCACTGGGGACTGGAAGTGACTGGAGGAGGAGGGTCCTGTGCAGTGTCTGGTCCTGAGCCTCAGATCCCCGAGGCAAAGGAAATAGGAGATCAGGGTCGGGTCAGGGTGAGAAGTCTGAGGGCCACCAACAGACTCAGGTTGCCTATCTGCAATCTCTACACGTGTTTCTAAAAGTACAGTCAAAGCACAAAACAGATTATTTGTTTCTGTTTTTTTTACTTACTTAAAAGGTACCAATTCTTTTCACCCGCCTGAAAGGAACTTCCTGTGAGGTTCCCGTTATTCCTCCCGAATCCCGCCACTCTTCGGTGGAAGTGACACAAACAACACTCGAGAATCGCTAATGCAGCGACAAGGACACGATGCTTTCCTGGCTTGCGACTCGCAAACATAATTGTGTTTGTTGCATGACCAAATTGCTGGAAATACAATCAAGATTTAAACCTCTCAGCTGAATTGTGCCCCTGTGCCACCTGTGCACCTAAAACGACTTCCATTAAGGCTAAATTCTCTGTGCAGGTGCCTCAGTAGTGCTAACACGTGAAAGTTCAAAACGTCCTTGAAAGACAAAGCCTGGACTGCTTATTCTCCTTTATATGGACTCGATTAAGCCACAGTTACAGTCCATCTCTACATACACGGGCGATTGACCCGAGAATAAATACAGAACCAACTGGGTCAAATAATGACTAAACAGTAACAGACAGTACGAACGAATAATGTCTAAACACAATGGTCTTTGTTCAAACGCAGACACGCTGAAAGATGAGCAAACGTGCCCACACAACCCGACGCCAACGACACGCAGGCTGCGGTCCACCTTTTACATTCTCCAGTTTCAGCGGGGAGTAATTAGAGCCGACGGTTCATCACAAGTCGAGCCCATACTTGCCTCATCTCTCCATCATTCTGTCAGACAGCAATGTGTGTTTATTTACAGTACTGAGTGCGTTATGTAGTGTCTAATGACAGGGAGTGTGGAGATACTGTCTAAGAACTAAACGCTCAAAATCAATGGCACAAAGAGAGCGTCGGCATACAAAGGATGACTTCGATCCTGCGGAACTTTTCGTCCCTTAAAACTTCTTGTCTTTCATTAACTCTCATCTTTCTCCTTAGTGTCAACAGGACTGCCGCGAGCCCACAGAGGCTTCTTCACAGTCCACACTATTAAACTGTTGAGCAGGACAAACTAAACATGCTGCCGATGTTGTAGAAATGGTAAATACTGTTGTTTACAGGCAGACGTTGCTGCTGCTCATCCAATAAATCAGTTTTAAACTGCAGCTGCGAGTGGAAGTGGGGTCTGTCAGTAAAACGCTGTTTAAAGCTGAAACAATCGGTCGATTAATCAATGAGTTGATCGACATTAATCTAAAATAATACTAAAATATATCCTTCGTCCACTTAAATATCCACCTTTCTTTGCCTGCCTGTACTATTGTGATCATAACTTATTATTATTGATGTCTGTGCTGTACCAAAAAACTAATTCCACTGACTTTGGTCACATGGTCATTAAATTAATTAATTGTTTCAGAAAACATCACTTGTTTTAATCTTTTCAAATGTGGGGACTTTCTGCTTTTCTCTGTTTATATAATTGTACACTTTTGTTGTTCTGGTCAAACAAATTGTCTGAAGATATCACATTGGCCTGTGGGAAATTAGATTTCCTGGCATTTTACAGACTAACCAATGAATCAATGAATCGTAAAAAATAATCAACAAATGAATCAATTATGGAGGAATCATTATTTGCAGCCCTAATGCTTTATGAGCGTGGGACAACTGCAGCGTTGTGTCGCAGAGAGAAACGACTGCGTCTGCTGAAACTACAGCTTCAGAACAGCTCTACCACTTTTCAATCTCAACCAGACCGTCAAGATATGATACATCTCAAAATTACACAGGGCCTCGTGCTTTCTTTAATGGCATAACTAGTTAGTAGAATAAATTAGGCAGCGCTCTAGCTGAAGCGAGCAGCTGCTAAAATACAGCCTGAAAATCAAACAAAAACAGAATCACTGCAATTAAAATGTAAACCGCTATCCGTTTTGCTTGAGCCCAAATATTACATTTTCCTCATGTGAAACTTAATCATTTATTGACAGCTTGGCTTTGATGACAAATGATAAACTTCACAGTCCTAATGAAGCGTGGAATTACATTACCTGATGAGGCAAGAAATTGCATGTTTAGAATGCAAATATAGAGCCCATCAACTTCACTAAGTTACGAGGTGAATCCTAATAGTATGCAGAGAGATTATCAAAGCTCGTGGTCTAAATGTCATATACCAAGAACACGCCAACATTGCGCTATTAAAGCACACAGCTGTGGAAATACACTGCACCTGACAGCTGATGGACAGGAAAGGACGTGCTGTAAGTTTGCTGTTTCCTACACACAAACAAGAAATACATGTAGCGTCCCTATAAACAAATCATTTAAAAAGGCCCCTCCAAGAATTCTCTCTGTCTCCAATGGTCATGTTTTGATAAGTGTCTATTGGCGAGAAAACATGCTTTTTTTTGCCAAAAGGAAGCAAAAGATCAAATTGTGCCATTTGCTCAGAGCACTCCACATGTTGCTAGGAGATAAGGGCCAACAAATTCAAATTTTCTCATTGGTTTAATCCTGGTTAAGGCTAATCTCTGCCCTTGCTGGGCTCAGCCTTGGGAAGCTGGGAGGGCAGACATCTAGAAAAATGTAGGCCATAGCAGAAACAAGAACAAATCAAATTCACTTCAATGCCAACCCGGAGAGAACTCAGCACATTCATATCAGAGCACACAGATGTCCACACCTTCAGTTATAACGTGTTAAATAAATAAAATTATTCATTGTGCAACCGCCAAGCTGATAACGTTGACGCTCTTTACTAAAAAAAAAAAAATGTTTTTTAACAAGTTAGAACAAAAGATAAAGGGACAAAATAGCCTTTATGACCATTATACATTCAAATTATGACAAATGATGACAGCTGAGGCTAAAACTGACTCAAAAACTTAAAATTAGAAACCTAACTAACGTTAGAAGCTAACATACTCAGTAAGTGTTATATATATAACGTTATATATGTATATTAGGTGCGTGCAAACGTTTAATTAAGCACACATCGACAGCTGCAGCTAACACGCACTATCAGTGAAACTAATTATGTTATTATTTAACTTTAACCTAGAGTTATATGGATCAGTAATAAAGGTGTTTCCGTGCTCCGTGCAGTCACACACGTTACCATAACTCTTAAGTTAAGTTAGTTAATTGAACCACGTGAACAAGCTAATGAGGTTGGAGACAGATAATTAATTAAAAGTCTGGGACTGTATAAATAATTATTAAAGAAATAAAACATACAGGACGGACAAACACTGGTCAACTGTCAACTGTCAACTGCCGTTCACCATGTTCTCAACGTCTGCAGAGCGACGGTTGGACAGTTTGAGGCTAGCTAGCATTCCCCATGGCACACGTTGTCATGGCAACGAAACATGAAGTTGCCATAAACGGTTTCCTCTTCTTCCTCTTCCTCTTCTTCTTCCTCTTCTTGACCCGACACAAACCCTAGTAACGTGCAAAACAACACACATACCAGTGCGCCTTGTGTCTCCGGTGTGACAGCTGCTGTTACAAACAGTACAGCGAAAAGCACCTTACCTTTTGGAACAGACCATTTTCATTCCGCAGTTTGGTCTCCCAAGTAAAAAACTTTTTCGCCGAGTGACTAAGGGAAGCGAAGAGGGACAAAGTTCCAATGAATGAACGGGGCTTCTCCTAACTCGGGGTCTTGCAGCGCCCCCGGTGGCTCCTATGTGTGTGTGTGTGTGTGTGTGTGTGTGTCGACCCACGTAAAGTAGACCTTACCGGATAAAACGTGACCACGACAGGACTGGACGAGCCCAACACACACAATAAGTGTTGTAGGCCTGTGTTTCCCTGTGGCAGCCTGGATTTTACTCGGTCCTTAGTCTCCATCTAGTGGACAAAACTGGAGCTTTCATTTACAGTTTATTTTGTAACCATGGTTATTTGTTGAAATAAGGTAATGAGAACCTTAGAGAGTCCACATTTTATAGTGTTTTGCAGTTCATCAACTCTGATCACATATTACTAATTAAATATGCAGAAAGCAGGATTAGAAAAATACATGACATTATAAAAGTAAGGTTTAGAATAAGTGTTGTATTCGGCTATGGGTACAAAACAAAACAAACTTCCTTCTCTTACACTGTGAAACGTTTTACCAATAACTCATAAGATCTTACAGCTATATTGAGAATAGCCTTTATTGTGACAACAATACAAGTGTTACTACTACTTATTCCTACAATTTGAACGTCTTTGTAAACAATTTTGTCTCTAAACAGCAGCCACATTAAATTTAAATTTTTTTATTTATTGTTGCTTCAAAATCATTTATTTGTTTTATAGCATTTCTATTTATTATTCTTATAATTTACTTTTTTCCATTATTATACAGCTCCTTTTTCTAACACTGTGGGACAGACTGAGTTCCGCTCCAACTCCATTTAGGGCTAATATGCAGCTGTTTGCATGCAATTTAAAGTGATCACGGGGCCTCTGTAAATCTTTAACCACAACTCTCATTTGGGCAGCTTGAACTTTAATCTTGGAATGACATTTAACACTCCAGCAAACCATATTCAAAGTCTGTCTAGTAGACTAGATGTGCTTTTCACTAGTTCTGCTGGATGCAGTTTCCCCATTTGCTCTGCATTAAGAAACAAAAACAATGTTGCTTTCGGTTTTAACTGCATAATGTCATTCAAATTTCAGCAAAACTTGTATTTTGAAATGCTCAGGTGACCAATACAAAATGCCTGGAGTATCCAGACCAATAGTGTGTTTAGCTACAAACATTATCATTAGTAACCACTGATTTCCTCTATCTGACGTACTTCCGCCTTTTAGACAAAGAAATTATTGATGAGTTTGGCCATGGAGCCACTGTATCGTCTGCGGTCTGCACTGAGCTTATTGCTCTCTATCACATGATGAATGAGTTTCATGAAGAGATCGGATATCTCCAAGTGGTCCTTTGCTTGCAGACACCTCCTGGAAGTGGCAGCAGTCTTCCTGAGCAAAGTATTATCCTCGCAAACGTGAGGAGCATCACACAGGTCCTGCTTGTTACCCCACCAACTGTCTTGTTTACTACATGTGACCAATAACATTAATACAGAAGAATATCATATAAAAAGTAATGTTATAATATCCTTTATATCTTTAAAAACATTAATATTCTCTTTTTGTTCTTCCCTAAAATTATTATTATTCTCCCAAACTATTTTAATAACTGCTTTACTGTTTTCATTTTAATCTTCAAATTTTTTTAGGTTGG